TCATATTTGGGGATGAATGGGATTTGCTTTTCCTGAAAGTAGTATTCTTCCGAAGCCTTTGGCTGTGGTATCTCACAGCCCTAAGGTTCTACTTTGATAGTATGATATCACCTTATGCCTCTAATCTAGGCGATCCCACTTGATCAGTCACTGAAATCAAGGTATAGGATTATATTTATGAATTCAGAATTACTAGGAATACATATATATGCACACTCACACATCCAGGAGAATGTTTTCTTAAAAAACCAAAACCCGGGTTTGACAAATGAACACAAGTTATCGCCATAAATTTTGCAGTTTGCCTATGTAGTTCCTGCTGTTTCCATGAACCACAATAACTGTGGGCTGGCTAATTTTCTCTGTCGCTGAATTTCTCTACCGCTGCTCCTTGGTTAATCCAAGGGAAGCAGACTGATTGCCACCTCTCTGCAGTTCCTGCTGTCTGTTGAATATACTGGTACAAAATTAGTCACATGAAAGTATAGTCATCGTCTGATCCACCTGGTTAAGTCAACGTGCTTCCTTCATTTTACAAATATATACTTCACCCAGTCCTGCAGTTTTAAGAGAATACGATTCTAGACTTTTAATAGAGGAACAGGGAGCCAGACGCTCTCTAGATATTGTTGGATTCCTCATGCCATCTGCCTCAGAGCCAGCATGGTCAATAGTTAGGGGTGCTGGCAGTCGCAATCCAGTAATATTTAGAGGGTCACAGCTTCTGCAGCCCTGTTTTAACTTAGAATCACCTCGAAACTGCAAAAGGTCCAGCGAAAGGTGATAAGCAAAGCAACCAAGATGACTGGGGAACTGGATCAGTTAGAGAGACGAGAGAGAGACAGAGGCCACAACCTTTATTTTATTGGGAAAATCTATCACCCAGTTTTACATCTTTGTGTCTCTTCCTCTTTCCAAACTATGCCATTCTCTTCCTCTCCCATCTGGTTTTCAGTTTTCTTTTCTTTTTGAAAAATTAGTCTTCTCAGAGATTTTTTGAACCCTTGCAGACCTTCAGGTTTCCTTACTGTAATTCTATACACACTCAGTGTGGGAGAATGTTCCACTAAAGTCAAGGGGGCTTAATGCTCATGTAATTAGGCTGATTTTAAGCTTTATATAAACATAAACATAAACATAAACATAAACATAAATAATATAAATATAAATAGTTTACAGTACTAGCTTTACCATGCCAATTTTCGTGGCATCAATAACTCTAATATGATATAATATCCTGTGGAGGTTTCATTATTTGCATATGACAGCCAAACATTAAAGGATTTAAAGTTAGTTTCACATGTAATATTTAATTTATTATCAGATAACTCATCTTCCAGCATATCAGATTACTGTAGATATGGGACAGAATTATGGGTAAAAAAAGTGACACACAAATGGGAAATATAAATACATATTTTCCCTAAACATATGGTTTTTATTCCCTCCCCCCTTTAATGATTGTCAATCTAATGCACAGCTAGTGGTTTATATACACGATAAATAGCCGAATATTTTGCATTCTATTTTCCTACCTATAATGCTGTCTCTTTCATTCTTGTCTTCACTTTTTACTTCCCCAGATAAACCTGGATGACATGATTTGCCATTTTCTCTAGGTTTGGGTAGTATATTCTCCCTGAACACATTAATTAATTCTCTCTCTCTCTCTCAAAACAAACAAAACAAAAACAAAAAACTGAATATTCAGAACCGTACATACCAACCTTCACATTCTTAAAGTAAAGAAAGCAGGAAGTCGAAAAGCTGATGAACCTAAGACTTCAGCTTTCTTGGTGATGGATAGCAACCAGCAATTAGAGACAGTCGAGGTTTGGCAAGGAATCAAGGGATACTCCACAGACATGATGCTCTACAGAAGAGATTTATTTGACTATCTGTACCCAGGCTGAAGTCAAGGGCTACCATCTAGAAACCAGCTGTGCCAGAATAGTACTGTTAAATGGAGTACTCTGGAATAAAGTTAAAGGTAAAAGACCCCTGGACAGTCAAAGGCAACTATGGGTTTGCAGCACTCATCTTGCTTTCAGGCTGAGGCAGCCAGCGTTTGTTCACAGACAGCTTTCCGGGTCATGTGGCCAGCAGGACTAAACTGCTTCTGGGGCAACGGAACACCGGGATGGAAACCAGAGCACATGGAAACACTGTTTACCTTCCAGCTGCAGCAGTACCTATTTATCTACTTGCACTGGCATGTGGAACTGGCTTGAAGTAGCATCTCCACTGCGTCTTCTCAAAATTGTGAGATGAAGATTGACATGACACCGAGTGCAGGCTAGATTTCCAGGATCGCTGGTGAGTAGTTCCTGGGTCTGCACAATCACACAATTGGATGGAAATATTAACAGGAATTTTCCCTCAATGAGGAAAGCAGATTGTAATAGTGGGCCACAATTAATAAAATGAAGTATGTGCCAACAACAAATCAAGTTAAAACTGGAGTGGATAACCCATCACTTATGGGACTTTGACTTTGTACTTCTTGTACGGCATGCTGCTCTTAGAGGCTTCTTAAATACCAGAGCTTTTCTTATCTCATATTAAGAAAGGTTTCTCACCATGAAATGTGTAGAATAAGCTTGAGGACCTGTTTTAACAGAACGGAAATCAATTGGAAAATAGCACCCAATAAGTTATATTTTCAAAATCCCAAGCTGTAGAAATACATTTTGTTTCCTTGATTAGCCAGTCATCATCCAGAGCTAGAAGTTCTTCCAACACTGACCCAACGCTGGTATTCTTCCAACTTCATTACAGAGTAAAATACAGATACACAGCTCTTCATTTCGAAGAGTTAATCAATTTTTCTCCCCCTCTCCAACCACCTACTGTATGTGCTTCTAGGGCAGAGCAAGGCTTCTGGTACACTTGGTAGATGACAACAGAATAGCTCTGATCAGGCCTTAGTTGTATAGCCTGGTAGTAGACCAGTGGACAAGAAACATCTCTGTGAGCTAGCAACCACACCAAATAGTCTATCCAATCCAAGATGAGAGGTTGACTCATGACCAGGCATCAGAGTTACGGTTTTCTCTGCTGGGATCCCTCTCCCCACCCAGACTGGGCACAAAGTTGCCCCATCAAAAGGCAGAGAGCTCAGTTTGCTGGGGGAAATGAGTGGGCAAGGTGTATGTGTTTAATTCTTTCCCCAGTCTGCTTTCCCCCACCTACTTTCTAAGATGGGGGGGGGGGCGTCTCATGGGCCTGAGGGAAAGCTTCTGCAAAGTGGTTCCAATATGTGTTTACTGGTCAGGTGTCGACAAACACCTAATTCATGAAAATGTACAACTCAAAAGAAATCTGCTGTTTCCGTGGAGTCAGCAATGCTTTGACCAAATTTATGAATCAAGAATCCATCAATCTCACTGCAGGCAAGGACCATGAACTGGGCTTCATACAGTCTACCAAATGCAGGGCTTTGCATGCAAAAGCCACTTGGCCTTTCTAGTAATTCTTGCTTCTATATACGTCCATTTCAGCCCTTATGCGCAAGCTGTCTATGAGAAAACCAGTGGAATGTGTAAAACAGGAGCATTATTTCTGCTGTTCTAACTGCCATTGGCATTTTAATGGCTTTGAACTACACAACAATGACTTTTCATGGAGAGTTTCCTTTTCACTTAAGAAGCTTTAATAAGCTGATTAATTCTGGGAATGGTAAAGAAAGAAAAAAACACTCCAAGAAGTGCTTTCTTTCATTGTTGTTACCATGAAAGAGAAATGCTATAAGAGCGGTCAGATATACACAGTGTATCTCTGCGATAGCATCTGGAAGAAAAAAGCAAAAAGCATGTGGATAATTAAATGATCAGAAAGTATAGCGCAATTAGAATATTGATGAAAGATGTGATTTAGGAAATATATGCACACTAATGACCGAAAGAGCTCTCCGCAGCAGAAGTATATTAATCACCACAGTGTTTGGATGTGAGTGTTGATAAGCATAGACATTCTTTGTTCCTAGGCAGACACAGGTCCAAACAAGGCAAGATAGATCTGTAAATAGATCTTCCGACATGCTTCTCTTTGGTTAAAAGAAGCTGGAGGGGCAATTTTGATCAGGGCTGCAGAACTAGTGGCGAGTAGTCAGCGGCACTGGGTATAGGCAGCAGAGGAAGTTTCAGCTCCCACAATATTTTTGGGCAGGGGGCAGCACCCCAAAATATTGAGGGGGATGTCACCCACTGCCACTGCTGGGCACCGTCCGTCTGCCCCAGCCCCAGCCTCTGCCTGGCAGCCCAGGAGCAGGGGCTGGAATGAGCAAGCACAGAGATTGCCCTCTGCGCATCCCGCCCCCATCTGGGTGGCATCACATGACATGCCACATGACCGTGCCCCCTCAACGTGGGGGCCTAGTCAGTGCCCCTGCGAGTAGTTAACTTCCCCTCTCAAGAGACTCTTATGGGAAGAGGCTGCTTGCTTCCCACATTTAAATTGCCCCAACCTAGAAAATATCTAGTAGCTGTGGTGGGGAAAGAAAGAAAGAAGGAAAGAAGGAAAGAAGGAAAGAAAGAAAGAAAGGGGAGGAGAGCAATGCCAGAGGTGGCTCAAGATATTTTGCTCCCTGAGACAGTGCAGCAAATATTTCCCTCTCCAGTTCTCTCACCAAGTAATATGTGCAAAAATGCATATATTAGGGCAAAGCATATATAAAGATGCATAAATTTGTGAAAATGGCACATGAAAACGCATTATATTTGGGAAATTTCCATTCAAAAACATGCATATTAGGAGAAATTGACACTAAAAAGCTGATGAATTATCATGTATTAATATTGATATTGATATTGATGATGATGATGATATATTATTTATACCCCGCATATTTCCCCAGCCACTCTGGGTGGCTTCCAACAAAATATTAAAATATATACATGAACTGATGTGCAAATGTGGAGAACCGAACAAGACTCTAAAAAATGAGAACAAAATTAACAGTTTCCAAAGGAAGGGTTGGCTGTGGTGTCCCAAACAAGAGAACATAGCTCATTTGGTAAAGCATGAGAGTCTTAATCTCAGGGTCATGGGTTCAAGTTCCACACTGGGTAAAATAATTACAGTGTTACCTCGGGTTAAGTACTTAATTCGTTCCGGAGGTCTGTTCTTAACCTGAAGCACCACTTTAGCTAATGGGGCCTCCTGCTGCCGCCGTACCGCCGGAGCACGATTTCTGTTCTTATCCTGAAGCAAAATTCTTAACCTGAAGCACTATTTCTAGGTTAGCGGAGTGTGTAACCTGAAGCGTATGTAACCTGAAGCATATGTAACCTGAGGTACCACTGTACTGCTTTGCATGGGGTTGGACTAAATGACTCTCAGGGTCCCTTCCAACTTTACAATTCTATGATCTCTGAACTATAATAGATTATTGCATACTTTTCTTTTCAGTACCGGTAGATGATCAGTGTTAGGAAACTTTCAGTGGAAGTGATCCCACCGAAGCCTGGATCCAGACTCATAGCACTACGAAATAAAGGGGGAATCTAGGTCAATCTCACTATATTCAGAAGGGACCTCTTGATGAAAGGACAGAAAAACCTTACCACCTCAGAAACTGAATGATGTCAGACCTCATTTGTGAGTAAATGTTCTCAGAGTTAAGGCCCAACTTTCTCTTTGGACTATTTTCTCCTCTAAATTATAGTTTAGTTACTCTTTCCTTATATGTATTTGAAGAGAAATGAGCCAGAGAAGTGATGAAAAAAATAATAATTAATTTTCCATAGCAAATGATCTGCTTTCAAATTTTGGGGCTCACAAGGCAGCATTTTGCCGTTTATGACAGGATGGCCTTAACTGCCTTACAAAAATGGTCCCATCTGCAGTTGGGAGCCAAATTATGAGATTTGAACACAATGTGAATGTGGTGGAAGAATTGTTAACAATTATGCCACTGAATGGCTCGATGGAACTAAATGTTGCATAGCATGTTTCCTGCTTTTATTTTTGAAATGCTTCACAATTCAAATTAATTGGGGAATGTTCAGGATTGAGATACAATATTGCATATGAACTGCATCTCTTTCTCTCCTGTACTATTTAGTAGGGAGCAGCCCATTCTTCCTTGGAGATAAAGTCAGGGTAACCCAAACCAATGAACAAAGCTGATGGCCACATCAAAAAATTAATGGCATGGTTTTGCATTTCAATTGCCATGGGGGTGGCATGCTTGTCATTTCTGGTGTAATAGGATGTTGCAGAAATGCATCATTAAAAGTAATTTTTTGTATGTTCTTATGGGACAGGAAGAAAGGGGTAATGAATAGTGGAATATCTTTGGACTGCTCCTTTTTATATAAATATACATCTGTGGCAAGGAGGGGGAAAGACGATTTATTTTACTCTCTTCAAAAGAGAGAGAGAGAGAGAGAGAGAGAGAGAGAGAGAGAGAGAGAGGCTGGGCCATTTGATTAGAGGGCATTCTATCAGCTTGACATCGCTAGTAGATGTTTCTGAACATACTCGGCTTGCAGTGTTAAGAGCTGCCCAAGAATATGAATTGAGAAGTTCCTCCTCTGAATCCTGTGTCAGTCATGAACTCCTACATCAGCCTTCCCCAACCCAGCACTCTCCAGATCTTGTTAGACAACAATTCCCATCCTTCCTAAAATCCAGGGTGACTTGCCTGCTGGGAATTGTAGTAAAAAAAATCAGATTGGGGAAGGCAAGTTATGCAACTCCACAGCATGCTGGCAATGAGGAAGTATTCTAGGATGCATGATTAGTATGCACTGAGCTGGCCAGTCCTATTGGACCTAGCACTTGCCCTGTGCCCTCTAGAAAGCATTCAGTGCAACCCTGTGATTGTACATGATGGAGAAAGATAGATATTGATAACCAGCAGCATTTTGTAGCAGCAACCCCACCATTACTGACCCTTGCAAGCTGCAATCCTATATTCACTGAATTGAGAAGATGCCTCCTTGACCTCAGTTGGACTTACTTTCGAGTGAACATACATCGGACTGCACTGTCATTGAGGAACCCCTGATAAGCCCCTAAGGACACCCCTGAACTCTGCTTGAAAACTATATATCTATATAATGTGCTAGCAAAAGGAAATGGATAAGTCAAAGCAGCATAAATGTCATTGAATAATATTAGAAAATGTACAGATCACCATGCAGGACAGCTAGAATGGGTGGTAATTTGGAAACCGTGCAAAATTTTGCCTGCAATTGAAGGGAACTTAGTGTGCACTCCTGGTTCTTCCTTTGCAGCCATGGCTTGAATTTTTTTAGAAATGACATCATGCACGTTCAGCATGAGAAAGCTGGCATGGCTCACCCAAAATAGCTTGGTGGACTAACGTCTGAGTTTTGATGGTCCTAGTTTTGCCTGTGGGCTGAAGGTTCTCTGATATTATCTGGGGTAGGTGCATTTTTTAAAAAAACGAAACCCCAACCTCTGGACTTTTCTTCCACACTTTCTTTGTTCACTCCATAATCAATTACCAACATCTGGCATCATCCATCTTCATTTTCTTAAATGTGCTCAGCAATGGAGAGGGCATTGCTCATCCTAATCTATTTGGCAATCTTTGTCTGACATTGTTCGTTATTGTTTGTCTTTCATCACATCACCAATCTCTAGCTGATTCTGTTTACCTTTGCTCACAATATGGTTCCTTGGCAATCGCTGTCCAAGATCATTAGTCTTGGATACAGCTGTTTGAAGGGACCCTACTGTAGCATTCTTCCATTGGGTCAGCTGTCATAACTGGTCTGTTGACAAGGGAAGCAAAGGGTTGAAATGTGTCTTTAAAAGCATTAGAGTAATTAGAAATCAGTATCCAAGTCCACAGCTGGATAACAGTCACACTCCAAGAGAAGCTTGCCTCAAGACTCCATTTTCATACTTGAGGATTTGCTTTTTCAGCAAATATGTACACGTGCCAAAGGGATTAAGAGAAAGGAAACATCCTGTGAAAAATGAGACTATGATTTATACATCTTTGATCAGGGGGGATTGGATTTTTGCCAGTTAAGAGGGAGTGGGAGCTCCCTGAAACTCTCTGGGGGATTGTGGTTTGAGTACACTCAACCCACAAAATACATTTGAGAAGAATGAAAAGTAGTCAGCAAGAGGAAGAAGAAGAGTTTGGATTTGATATCCCACCTTTCACTTCCTTTAAGGAGTCTCAAAGGGGCTAACATTCTCCTTTCCCTTCCTCCCCCAAAACAAACACTCTGTGAGGTGAGTGGGGCTGAGAGACTTCAAAGAAGTGTGACTAGCCCAAGGTCACTCAGCAGCTGCATGTGGAGGAGCGGAGACGCGAACCCGGTTCCCCAGATTACGAGACTACCGCTCTTAACCACTACACCACACTGGCAGGTGACAATATCATCATTGGGTCTCTGCACTGAGAACTAGGAAGATAGTTTAGCCACATTAACCATTCAGAGGGAGACGTAGAGCCAGAGCAACATAGAGGGAAGATCATAGCTAAGTATTCTGTCTTAGGGCACAAGACTGTGGAGTAGTTAACAGCACAAGGCTAGGGGCTGGCTCACGACCAGATCAACAGTTAGACTCATAAGGCAGTAGCCTTAGGCTTTCAATTTCCAGCTCATCCATGAAGCTTACTGGGTGATCTTGGCTCAGTCATTGACTCTTAGCTTTGCATTCTGTACATGGTTGTTTTCAAAATGGGGGAAAGGGAAATTCATGAACGTCCCTGGAGGAATGATGCCATTCACAACTTTGCCGCAACAAAATTCAAGATTATTAAAAGTGATTTAGGTATGAAAACCTTTCCCTTTGACTCAAATGCATTTGTTAATTTTAGATAGTGATTATGATGATGATCTCTGCCCCCCCCCCACTCTCCAATAGGGATCATACATTGGCCCCTTGTATTTTAATCTGGGCCTGGGCAGGCTGCAGGGAAGGGCAGAGGGGTCATTTTTGTTTCTCTCACTTAGCTAAGCTGCTACCTGTTGGAGTGAAGACTGTAGGTCATAATAATAATAACAGTAATAATAAAAAGTAACTTTTATTTTAGGGACGCGGGTGGCGCTGTGGGTAAAACCTCAGCGCCTAGGACTTGCCGATCGTATGGTCGGCGATTCGAATCCCCACGGCGGGGTGAGCTACCGTCATTCGGTCCCAGCTCCTGCCCACCTAGCAGTTCGAAAGCACCCTTAAGTGCAAGTAGATAAATAGGTACCGCTTTATAGCGGGAAGGTAAATGGTGTTTCCGTGTGCTGCGCTGGTGCAGGCTCGCCAGAGCAGCTTCGTCACGCTGGCCATGTGACCCGGAAGTGTCTTCGGACAGCGCTGGCCCCCGGCCTCTTAAGCGAGATGGACGCGCAACCCCAGAGTCGGTCACGACTGGCCTGTACGGGCAGGGATACCTTTACCTTTAACTTTTATTTAGATCCTGCCCTTCCCTGCCGAAGTTGGGCTCAGGGCGGCTAACATCAAATATATAACATTAGTATAAAATCAAGCAATAATTAAATTACCTCCTAAAAACAGGTCAAAATCAAATTAGATTAGATTAGATGGCTTTCCACAGGATTAGCGTTAGGAACAGTAAGTGCTCATCTTATAGCCCTAAGTAAAGGTCCCATCAACCCAAAGATTGATGGTAGAATGCAATGGTACATTCCTCTCTCCTCCCCCCCATCATGTGCCCTTCCACAGTAGATTTGGGGAGGGTGTGGGGCATACATGAAAGAAACAGTCATAGGAGAAAGAGAGGATGAAAATCCCATTGTTCTAGTGGTAATCCTTGTACTAACAAGATGAGTCAGTAGGTTAAAATCCTTTAGTCAGTAGGTTAAAACCCTTTAGGTTTTAATGGGTTCTACAAACTGGCTATGGTCAGTTTTGCCATAGTAAAAAGCACCAAATGATCTTACTCTGCCATCTCCTCTTGTATTCTCAAGGGTCTCACAAACGTCAGGAGTAGGTTTTCAGTAGACAGGCATTCAAATGGATTGTGGGTGGTGCGGGGATCAGCAAAATTCAGGCTCTCCAACTTGCACGAGTTGAAGGGTTTTCTATTGGGATAAAACCACCATTGGATGCAACTCCCTTTTCTATAAG